AGATGCCGAGGTAATAGAACCTAGGGGGCAGTTGTGAGGATATATTTTCTGAGCACCAACACGTGGCCAAGGTGACGCCGACGTGTCAGCCGAGGTGCCACGTGTCCTGGTCATGATGCCGAGGTTATCTCGGCTAGGCCGAGGTTATCTGCGAGGATACCGGAATCCGAGATAAACGAATAGGGGACAAGAGTCCTAGAATGAAGAGGAGACTTAGTCAAGATGAGGATAAAGCTCTTAGGGGGTTTATCTTTATCTCTTTAGGAGTCCAAAGTAAGTACTGAATTGGAGTCCATAGAAGTCAGGCTTCTAGAGGGACTAGGATTAAGTTAACTATAAAAGAGAGGCACTCCCGTGGGTCTAAGATACGTAATTTTATGCTTTGAGCAGTAAGTTTAGCACTTGATTATCTCTGAGAGATATACTGACTTGATCGTCGGAGTGCCCCCGGGTGGAAGAACCACCGCCGGAGCCTTCTCTTTCTGTTACAAGTTAATTGAAGTCATCTATTCTGCCGGTGCTCTCTAGCTGATTACTAAACGGGCAGTGTGACTAGAAAATCACTCACACACATACATATTTTTTACCTCTCATATGTTGTAATATACAATTTTCTTTCACTTTTGCAGTCATCATGCCAAGAACAAAACGAACCAGGCCCGAACATGGTGAATCCCCAAACCCTTTACCACCACCACAGCAACAACATGATGGCTATCCAACTAATGATTTTGTAACATATCATTATGAACAAGCCTATGAACATTTCATTACTCGACTAATTATTACGGGGAGAAACGTAAAACTACCTTCTAAATATGATTCACTCTTACTTGGCAAATTAGATACAATGGGATGGTTACCATTAAATAATTTGCCAAATAAGATATATCCCCGTTTTCTACGATTATTTTATGTTCACTTGACATTGGGTGACCAACAAAATGAGCCGTTCAGTCTTACCTCTTATGTTAAGGGGAAAAGAATCACACTCTCTCCATCGTTTTGCACAAATTATTGGAGTCGAAACAGGAGATTTACAATGTTATTTTCAAAATGAGGCCGCATTAGAAAAAATTGTTGATGATGTCACTTAGATTTATACCACAATTTGTGACAACCGATTTGGCGGCACTAATGTACAAGTCAGCCATTTAAAACCTCACCTTCGTATTGTCCATCAATGGATAGTTGAAAATATCACTCCCAAAAAAGGACATTATAATTTTGTTTCATGTTTTCAAGTTTACTTGTTATATTGTTTTGAAATTTGACAAAAATTAGATTTATGCTTTATATTACTAAAAGAAATGATGCTTGCAAAATTGGATACTCTGAGTGGCCGGTCACTACCTTTTGGAGCTTTGTTAACCATAATTTTCAAAGCCTATGATGTGAACCTTGAAGGTGAAGGATGGATCAGAATCACTTCACCAATTTCTGAGTATACATTGACCCGAGCTGGTGGTGCTGACACCTTGATGGGCTCTATTAATCTTGAAAATCAACCAATACCTGATGAGGAAGAACCCAATGACAATGCCATACCACCAAATGAACAACCCCATTACTGGACTGATTATTTAGTCTTGGAACAAGAACGGTACAATCAGCGCCTACAATGGGAACAACAAATGGCTAATCAGCTCAATACATTGGGTACTTGGTTTGATGAATTTGGTACTCGGTTCGATGAAATTGCCACCACTCAGAACTCACTAATTCATCAATTTGGTGAGTTTCGTGTAGACTTAGAGAGACGCGCTGAACTGACAAGGAACCGCATTGATCTGATTGACCATCGAGTCACTCAGCTGTACCATCAGCATTTCCCTCCACCTCCAACACCACCTGACAAGGATGCTTAACTTGTTTAAAAATCAAATAAAATAGTTCACAGATATGGTGGTTATATTTTTTTCCCTTTTTTTGTTTTGGTTATTTATTTGGTGAGTTTTGTTATTTTGTTATAAACTTTTCTATTCACGTAATGAATAACAACGAGGGGTTTTTTTTGGAATCATTTAATTACATAGTTATAATGTTATAACAATCTGTGCAAAAAGATTATGCATTGAAAAAATTATTTGTACAAAAATTAA